GGCACTTACGAAGGATTTTTACCTTTATTGTTGACTGGAAGAGATCGTTTTCTAGCGATAAACACCTGAAATATGCCGTTCCAATTGGTTGTGTTTCCTGTAATTGACTTTTACGTTACTATTTACGTTCGTTACACGCTTTTGAAAAATAAATATTGATTTTCTTGTAATTTTCAGTTTCTTTGTATTTTAAGTTGCAATCCTTTTTCTTTGCAAACTGATACCTTTTTTAAATCAACATCCAACGTATAAGGACCTGCAAGTTAATTTTCCATTAATTTTCACCTGCTCTCTAACTCCCCATTGGCCATGTCTATCATCAAAGCCTAATGAAATCCCTTTCACACCTATATCCAACCAGTGGTTACGGCGATATCAGAAAATTATAACGTTTATCTTCTTTATCATTGATATGATCAATTTTAATTAAAGAGCTCCTTGGTGAATTGATACAGTTAATCTTTATTATGACTGCACGGGGAATATTGATCTTTTTGCTGTCTAAAGCCCGTTTTCAAAACTGAAATTTTTGACTTGAGCGTGCTCAATGCTCATCTTCTAATCATTTGATCTCTTCATATGAGATTTACGCCCATATTCACAAACGATGCTTGCATAAGTGAAGCAGCAAATCGAACGCACAGCGAGAGCTCTGTGATCGGTTCGTGTGTCACCCTGTGCGTTCACGCGCACTGTGAGACCTCATAGTAATGTTTGTGAATACGGGCGTTATTCTTGAGTCGATAATGAGTAGGTATACCTACGCTCAAGTAGAAAACCTCAATTCAGAAACGGGGCTTAAATCCGAAAAGATTGACTTAGAATATCATGACAGTCTAACTAGTCTAGTCCAATGACAGTTTAACTTTCCCCCGGGACAAACTTGACCTTCATTGGTTGGGTTTTTGTGGCAGTCAAGCTGTAGATCCTGGCTACACAGGTGTTGCAGTGAGGTGGGAATAGTCCTTTTTTTTAGAAATATCATGATGTCTGGTTTGTTTCTGCGTTTGTTTATTTATTATTGTTTCCATTATTTATTGAATTCGTTTGAACAGGACTTTCGCCGGCTTATCTACTTCTGTACTTTTCACCAAAACAGTTTTAAAGCAGTTTCCGATAGTTCTTTCAACTTCTTTCATAACCGGAATCTCACAACCGGATCACAACACAATGGCGAGTAAGGTCGTTGAAGGCCGGCTCGCGAAACGTTCGCATCTGCGCGCGCGCTTACATAACTCTGACATCACCGACTTTCACTCCGGTCACTGAGTCACTGGGTGGGCTACTGTCACCCATTCCGGGTTTGATAGCAATGAAAACAAAACAAGCTCTTGCATTATATGACTTTTTTGAGGAAATACGAGTACGTACCTAGTGGCAATAGGTACATACTTTACGTAATTATAGTATTTGCAAAGTCAAAGTCAAAATTTCTTTATTTGTTTAGACCAGGGTTTCCCAATTTTTTTTTGCCAAGGAACCCTAATTGATTATACTTTTCCTAGCGGAACCCCCGTACCACTCCGCCCGCACGCCCTGCCCCTCCCTTGAACAAGTCGGTGCGCGCGCGCGCGAAAAACGTCGGTCACGAAACGTGGGATAATATTTTTTACGGAACCCTTGCGGCCTTTCCACGGAACCCCAGGGTTCCGCGGACCACCTTTCGGGAACCGCTGGTTTAGACTAATAAATAGTTCTTACATACTCGGGAACTCTTCGTAATTTTTGCTTAAGTTTCCTTTAATTTTCTTTCCTTTAAGGCTCTGCGCAATTATTTTAAAGACTAAAACTTTTTTCTTATCTCTGACATGTGTTTTGTGTACGCCAATATTATTATTATGTTTATGTATTTAGATGTATGTCTATTATATTAATATGTATTCTTATGTTATTTATTTTATCTAATGCTATGTAAGTATATTAATTAAACGTCATATTTATTGCACCGCCTTAGTCTCTCTACTCGACCTGTGGTTGACTGGCAGATAATGCCACCTGGCATTAAGTCCGCCACTGTACAATTGTATGTGCAAAAGTGTAAATAAATAAATAAAATAAATAAAATTTTTTGACGAAACAGTTACATTATCTGTCACTGAGTCACTGGATGAGCTACTGTCACCCATTCCGGGGTTTAATAGCACTTGCAAAATGTGACGTTTTTAGAGGAAATAAGTTTAGCGGATATTTTCAAAAACTGCGTAATTNGTTTAGCCGATATTTTCAAAAACTGCGTAATTTTTGCATAAGTTTCTTTAAGCTTTTTGATGAAACAGTATGATATCTGTCACTGAGTCACTGGGTGGGCTACTGTCACCCATTGTGGGGTTTGATAGCAATGAAAACAAAACAAGCTCTTGCATGTGACGTTTTTAGAGGAAATACGAGTATGTATTGCCTGCCCATATTTTCAGGAACGTTATTTTTTTGTAAAGCTCCTTTTCACTTTTTGTTGAAACAGTTACGTTATCTATCACTGAGAGGGCTACTGTCACCCATTGTGGGGTTTGATAGCAATGGAAACAAAACAAGATCTTGCAAAATGTGACGTATTTAGAGGAAATAATATGTTTAGCCGATATTTTCAGAAACTGCGTAATTTTTGCATAAGTTTCTTTAAGCTTTTTGATGAAACAGTATGATATCTGTCACTGAGTCACTGGGTGGGCTACTGTCACCCATTAAGGGGTTTGATAGTAATGGAAACAAAACAAGCTCTTGCAAAATGTGACGTCTTTAGAGGAAATACATATGTTTAGACGATATTTTCAGAAACTGCGTAATTTTTGCATAAGTTCCTTTACACTTTTTGATGAAACCGTATGTTATCTGTCACTGAGTCACTGGGTGGGCGACTGTCAACCATTCCGGGGTTTGACAGCAAAGAAAAAAAACAAGTTCTTGCAAAATGTGACGTATTTAGAGGAAATACGAGTATGCCAATATTTGCAGGAATTCTACGTACATTTTTTGCATTTTAATGAAACAGTTACGTTATTTGTCACAGAGTCACTGAGTGGGCTACTGTCACCCATTCTAGGGTTTGATAGCAATGAAAACAAAAGAAGCTCTTGCAAAATGTGACGTTTTTAGAGGAAATACGAGTATGCCAATATTTGCAGGAATTCTACGTAATTTTTTTGCGTTTTAATGCAACAGTTACGTTATATTCTGTCACTGCATCACTGGGCGGGCTACTGTCACTCACCCATTCCGGGGCTTGATACCAATGAAAACAAAACAAGATCTTGCAACATGTGTCGTTTTAAGGCTAAATAATGTTTTGTCTATATTTTCAGGTACTCTAATTATTTTTGCTTAAGTCCCTTTAAACTTTTTGATGAATGATGAACATTTCTGTTATCTATCATTCTCTATCACCTTACATATCGGCGTTCTATTTATTTTACTTGTAGCTTTACTTTTTAATTCCCTAATTTAACCTCTACATATTACTTAGGCGTGACCTAAAAGTACTAATAAAGAATTTTAATTTGATTAGTTTTTATAGTAACAGATATTGTGGTAATAGTTACATGTCGATTGTTTTGGTCCAGCGCATGCGCGTGCAATATTAATCACTCGGATTTTCCGATGCAATAAATAGATCCGAATCGAGGACGATTGCCTACTTACTGTTACAAAATATTTCGACACTACATGCTACTTGTTACACAGTGCAAAATAATAATCAGAATTTATTTATTTATTTATTTTTGGGAAACATACAGTTACAATATAATTTAACTTAGGTGCAGTGAGAAAACACATAAACCAATTAAGTTTCCACAGTTAAATATACACAAAGTTGGGCAAACCATTATTAATAATATTAAGGAAAACTGGATCCTTATATTATATTTTGATTAATTAGCGCATGATTTTAAAATTATTACAATGTAGGTAAGTGGAAATCCTTGGAGGAGGCCTTTGTCCAGCAGTCGTTTTGATTTTGGTTTTAGCTGGTACTCTACATTATAATAAACCAAAACTCTTCTTTTCTTCATTCAAACAGAAAACAATTAACTAATAAGGACAAAATGATAACGATTTATTCGTAATACATCTGTATTCAAATGACCGCTACAAATGGTAGAGAGTCGAGAATTTGTTGAAACCGACAAAATATGTAGGTAGGATACATAAAATAACTTTATGGAAGTTTCGAGAAGTCTTTCAAAACCCAAAACCCAAGTTCAGATTCCGTCAGCTGATCGTAACAATGGCCAAACAAAGAATGTGTGCTTGCGCAACCTCCGATCTGCGCCGGCGACGCTTTCTCGCCTTTTTGGTTGAGGGACTCGCGTGCGAAATATATTATACTTACCTAAAAATAACTTTTTGCTGGTTAGTGAGATTGAAATACAAAAAATATGACCCGGAGTTCCAGGACAATTAATGTAGGTAGTTGTGACTCTACCTATACGCGAACACCGCTTGAAAATCCTTACTCGTAATTACTATGCCTGCTTCGTGTTAAAATATATACAAGTAAACCCAAAGTAAACAAAAGATCATTTAATGAGAGACTTTCACAAGACTGCATTGTATAGGTAATGCAGTCAGAACAGGCAGTGACGGCACTTAAGTAACGAGATTACATCGAATTAAACAAATTACATTCCTCGACGAAATCCGAGCATGAGATGGGTACAACAACAAAAACAAAACAACCTACTTCTCGGAATGCATTAGGCAATACGGTTTCTCCTCCGGACAAAGATGGAGCTGATTTCATTACCTTAAACTCTTTACTAAATTACTAAATAAATATACTTATAAAGGCTTTGGTTTCACAAAAACGTCGTAGCGTAGGCGTGATTTAAAGATAACGGTGAAAAGTTTGGATGTTGCTGCTATTTTTGCAAGTTTCCGTAACTGTATTAAATGGAAATGAAAATGTATTTATATCAACTTAGTTCTGAATATTATTTATTATACCTTACCTACTTAGCAATATCAAAGAAGTCAAAACTAATAATGTATTTGTTTATTGTTCACAGGTATTCTCCTATTCTCCTCACAAACGAAATGCCAGTATCAAGTTCACCACCCGGGTAGGTATGCATCAATACTCACGTCTAACTAACCTGAAATACTTTAGTCCAGCTACAACATATTCCAATACAAGGCCCCGCTCACTTTCCAGGGTCCTACGCACAGCACCCGGGGGACTGGCCGCACCCTCACATGCAGCAAGGAAACCCGCCATGGCACCAGTTCTCCTCACCAAGGAAAAGGTCACCTGAGTTCGCGCCAGGTCATCCATACTACAATGGAGAATATAACACGCAACCTACATTGTACAATCAAGGACCTTTTGGTCCACGACCTGATCAGCAAAACCTCCAAAGATACCCCCAAAACTACGAAAGCAGATCGTCATTTGACCTCGTCAATTCTGAAACGAGAGACTCTCCAAACGATGGACGACTGCTCTCAGACTCTGCGTTCACCAGAATATCTGAAACTCTGGGTGCCATAAACACTGTGGGACACTATCTCGTAGATATGGTCAACGAAAATGAGAGAGATGAGACTGACCCGAACCTGAAACAGTTACCTCAAGCGCTCTACACGATCAGCAAGAACGTTCTTGGCAGAAACGTCACGGACAAGATAGCGCCTATCGTCAAGAAAGCGCTGCCAAGAGTGCTTCCTGATGCTCCCATTACCAAAATAGCTACGGCCAATGAAAAGGACAACACCAAATCGTGCACCACTCCTGAAGGTGAAGAAGGCATCTGTGAGGATCTGAGCAACTGTCCACAGCTGCTTTTGAATCTAGTCAACCTCAGAGAATCGCTTTGTTTCAAAGACCTTTTCGTTCCTGGGGTGTGTTGTCCGAAAGACGCTGTTGTTCTGGCCACGCCGTTGGTGGAAAAGCCGATTGTGACAACAACGACCAAGCCTACATATTTAGTGCCTGTAACGACTCAGAGGCCTCAGAGGCCGCAAAAGCCACCGAAGCCAACGACAACTAAGAAACCGTCCGCCATCTTGGTTCTTACGACAAAGAGGCCGAAGCCGGCGACGACAACTACGAGGCCGACCACCACCACTGCAGTTGCGGTGACGACTCCGAGACCTCCTCCGACTTCCACCTTCTTCACTGTGCCACCACCAATACTGACGAACTTCTCCAACATCGTTAGTATGGAAGGTAAGATTTTTAAACATGATTATTACATGGAATGTTTTATTGAATTTCACCCATAGATTATACGAGTACTTACTAGCTTTGCTTTGGATCTAAATGGTGCAGTTAAAATGTCCAAGGATTTTACTAATTCCTTATCCGTCAATTTTTCTAGAATGCGGACAGCGCGAAGATGAGGGCGGCCGCATCGTGGGCGGCACGGAATCCAAACCGGGCGCGTGGCCCTGGATGGCGGCTATCTACCTGCACGGCAGCAAACGCCGCGAGTTCTGGTGTGGAGGCACGCTGGTGAATCGACGGCATGTCTTGACTGCTGCCCATTGCACCAGGGACTCCAAACAGCGGCCGTAAGTGCCACTGCTAGGTCTAGCTGGTTACTAGATGCAGAGCACATCGCATAGATGACGGCTATCTACCTGCATATCGGCAAGCGCCGCGAGTCTGGTGCTGCGGGACCCTGGTCAACCGACGACATGTCTTGACTGCCGCTCACTGCACCAGGGACTCCAAGCAGCGACCGTATGTACCACTGTTAGGTCTAGCAGTTTACTAGAACCGCACAAATGAGGGCCATATACCTGCACGGCAGCAAGCGCCGCGAGTTCTGGTGTGGAAGCACGCTGGTGAACCGACGGCATGTCTTGACTGCTGCTCATTGCACCAGGGACTCCAAACAACGACCGTAAGGGCTATCTTAGTATATTATATTACTAGATACTGAGTAGGCGTGTGGGGGCCCTGGGTGGCGGCCATATACCTGCACGGCAGCAAACGCCGCGAGTTCTGGTGCGGCGGGACCCTGGTCAACCGACGACATGTCCTCACCGCCGCTCACTGCACCAGGGACTCCAAGCAACGACCGTAAGTACCACTGTTAGGTCTAGCAGTTTACTAGGGCCATATACCTGCACGGCAGCAAGCGCCGCGAGTTCTGGTGTGGAGGCACGCTGGTGAACCGACGGCATGTCTTGACTGCCGCTCACTGCACCAGGGACTCCAAGCAGCGACCGTAAGTACCACTGTTAGCTCTAGCAGGTTACTAGCACCGCACAGATGGTAGCCATCGACCTGCACGGCAGCAAGCGCTGCGAGTGCGGCGGGACCCTGGTGAAACGACGGCATGTCTTGACTGCTGCTCATTGCACCAGGGACTCCAAACAACGACCGTAAGGGCTATCTTAGTATATTATATTACTAGATACTGAGTAGGTGTGCGGGGGCCCTGGATGGCGACCATATACCTGCCGGCAAGCGCCGCGAGTTCTGGTGCGGCAGGACCCTGGTGAACCGACGGCATGTTCTCACTGCTGCCCATTGCACCAGGGACTCCAAGCAACGACCTTAAGTACCAATGAATATGTAAAGCAAGTGGTATGTTTTGTCTAAACCTACGTCAGCAAGCGCCGCTCGCTAGTTCTGGTGCGGCGACACCCTCGCCAATCGCCGGCATGACTTGCTCATGTGCTCTAACTCTTGATCTTGACTGCTGCTCACTGCACCAGAGAATCCAAGCAGCGACCGTAAGTGCCATCCTAGTAGATCAGAGGATGGAGAATGCCACAGGGGATGCCAGCCATAGCATAGGGAGACGCCTGCCATAAGGGGATGCAAATTGGTTCCTCACCAGAAAAGCCAAGCAGAGATGCACTATTCCTAGTTGGATATCGTAGATGCAGAGCAGCCAGACATATGGTGATCTCTCTCTCTCTCGTAACTGCTGAAATATGCGTATCAGCTGCCGGTTTTATTATTCCTAAAATCATCCTCTTTTCATTTCAGATTCCCAGCGCGTCAGTTCAGCGTGCGTCTCGGTGACGTAGACCTGGCTCGGGATGACGAGCCCTCGCGTCCGGTCACGCACAGAGTCACCGCAGTCAGGGCACACGAGCAGTTCTCAAGAGTCGGCTTCTACAACGACATCGCGCTACTGGTGTTAGCTGGTAAGTTTCATTGTCAAGCTGTAGATCCTGACTACACAGGAGTTGCAGCGGTGGGAACGAGAAGTGGGAATTGTCTCGTTTTTCAGGTTCAGATTGCGTCTCATTGACGTAGACTTGACAGAGCTGCAAAGATGTTACAGTACTGTCCCAAATTCTAGACTGGCTTCCATTCGCTATGATGAAGTTTTATTAACCCACAAATAAGGAGAAAAATTATACCTGAGAACCTAGCTGTAGCTTTAATAATATTTTACATAGCGCGAATAACTTTGTGGAGTTTCTTTCTTCAGTCGATATTACATTATAATGATACCTAAACGTCTTTAAAACCGGAGCTTATTTTTATCCACAACGAGGAAGCTCTTGGCCTGTATCTCACCTGATGGTAAGTGACGATCAGGCCGAAGGTGGAAGCGAGCTTCACCCGGAATTCTCAACCACGGAGGAACTGGCTATCTTACCTCTAACTGTCGGAACACAATAATGATTTTAACATTGTTGTTATGGCGACAGACTTAGGTAAGATAGATAACATGAGCTTATAAAAACTATAAATTCTCATTTCCACTTTCCAGATAACGTCCTCAAATCCAAATACGTGATCCCCATCTGTTTGCCCACTGGGGAGCTATCCCGGCAGCTCTTCGACGGCTCCTTAGCTACCGTAGTTGGATGGGGAACCACCCGCTACGGAGGCGGGGAGAGCTCCAAACAGCTGGAAGCCAAACTACCGGTGTGGAGGAACGAGGACTGCGATAGAGCGTACTTTCAGCCGATTACGGAGACGTTCTTATGTGCTGGGTACGCTAGAGGAGGCGTTGACGCTTGTCAGGTAGGTTGCATTCATCTGTTCTCTGATTTTGAAACGGTAACATCCCAACTATCCCAACTAATATTATAAATGCGAAAGTAACTCTGTCTGTCTGTCTGTCTGTCTGTCTGTCTGTCTGTCTGTTACGCTTTCCCGCTTAAACCTCGCAACCGATTTTGATGAAATTTGGCATAGAGATAGTTTGAGTCCCGGGAAAGAACATAGGATAGTTTTTATCCCGGTTTTTGAAACAGGGACGCGCGCGATAAAGTTTTTCTGTGACAGACAAAATTCCACGCGGGCGAAGCCGCGGGCGGAAAGCTAGTTTTCTTTATATTCGGGATTGTAAACTTGGGCAAGTGCCCAAGTGGTAAGTACGGTTGACAGATAATACCTACATATAGCATTGAACCCAGCCACAATCAACACTCAGTTTAAGCTGAGCTTTTGTTATCGTATTTTCCATTGCTTCTAGGAGGAAAGTTCCAAGAGCTTTCAGGAGCTTGCAAGATATTATGGACGTGCTAATTGTTATGTTATTGACATACTTAGTGCGAACCTAGGATGAACGTGCTAACATTAGATACGAGATGTTCAGTAAATTTAAAAACAGCACATCAAGCCCCTTCATCTATCTTACGCGGTTTAGATTTTTTCATACAAATGTTTTTTCCCGCTAGCTCCCGTTCCCGTAGGAATTTTGCAATATCCTGTTGTAACTAAGCTTTAAGTTTACTGAGGTACCTGCATGCCAAATTTCAAGCGTCTAACTTAAGCAGTTTAGATTTTTCATACAAAAGGATTTTCCCGCTAATTCCAGTTCCCGTGGGAATTTCGGGAATTCCTTTCTTAGTGCATCTCTACGGTACCTAAGCTACGTCCCTTCCAAATTTCAAGTGCCTACGTTTAGCCGTTTAGGCTGTGCGTTGATATGTCAGTCAGTTTCTCCTTTTATATAAAAATATAGCTTTCCGCCCGCGGCTTCGCCCGCGTGGAATTTTGTCTGTCACAGAAAAACAATATCGCGCGCGTATTTACTCACCGTTTAGACCTACCCTGGACTACGACAAACATTTTAAAACCAAAATCAGCTCAATCGGCCCAGCCGTTCTCGAATTATAATTAGACTAACGAACATCAATTCATTTTTATTTATATACCTAGATAGATTTAGAAAATAGAAACTACAGTGCAACTTTAGTCTACAATCTGAAGTAAATCAATGTAATAAATACAAGCCAGATCAAGATGGGAAGGGATACTAAATAGAATTTTCATTGTCAGTCTTCCATATTGTATGTTTATTTATTTATTTATTTATTTAGGAAAACCAGGGTTTTACAGTGTGTAATAATGACACAAGATAGGCAACGAGTAAACCACTTATAGGTTCCCACAGGTAAAAACAATTTAAAAAATTTAGTGAGCCTTTGCACCAGGGTTACTACATACTACGTACTACACTACTATAATATACTATGTATACCTAAATAAAAAGTATTGGAAAACATTGCTAAACAGAAAAACAATTTAGCTGTCCTTAAAAAAACGGTCGCCTAGCTTTCTCCTCGCCACAGCAATGCTAGTACAAAATATGTCGATGTTAGTCTCCTTGACAAATTCGTTCAAGTTCCTACTCGCCCGCCAGAGAAAACTATTTTGCCTGTAGTTAGAGTCTACCTTGGGGATGTATAGTGGATCATTATTGCGCAGAATTCTTTTTGGAGCATTAAATTGAATGTTAGCTAGGAGTTCAGAGCAGTCAATCTCAGCTGTGATAACTTTTATAAGATATGTGATATCAGATATTTCACGCCTAATGGCGAGAGGAAGGATGTGGTGCCTTTTACAGATGTTAGAGTAGTCCGACGAACTATACTGTGATCTGGTACGGTAACAAATAAACCTTATAAACTTTTTCTGGATATTCTCCAAGCGAGAGACGTATGTTTGGTACCTAGGGTTCCAGATCTGCGACGCATACTCAAGGTGACTACGCACAAATGTGCAATATAGTATTTTAAGTGTCTTTACCTTGTTAAAACAGACTGAGCTACGCATTACAAAACCGAGAGCCCTTGACGCCTTAGCTACTATGCTATCTATATGGTCATCAAAAATCAGTTTGGAATCGTGTATCACTCCCAATTCGCGAATGGATGTCTTCCTCTGTAGAGTTTGGCCACCCATAAGGTATGGATACAATTTAGTGTTTAGCTTGCGACTGAAAGTTACAATAGAACATTTAGAGGGGTTGAGATCCAGTTTATTGAACTTACAGTATTCAACCAGACGTGACAAGTCAGCCTGCAGGGCAGCAGCATCCCGTTCCGACGCAATTGTGGAGTAGATTTTCATATCGTCTGCGAAGCAAAGAAGGCGGGAGGAGTGCAGACAAGAGTTAATGTCGTTTACAAATATGACAAACAACAACGGGCCCAGTAAAGATCCCTGAGGAACGCCGCTAGGGATTTAAAGCCCTTCTTCTTCTTCTTCTCGTGTCGACAACAAACTTACACAGTGTCAGCCCAAAACTCCGCCACAAGAGTGGCGTTGTCAATATTGTCAGTCATTTAAAGCCATTATTTTCTCTCTTTTCCAGGGTGACTCCGGCGGGCCGCTCATGCTGCAAGTGCAAGGCCGCTGGACGCAGATCGGCGTGGTGTCGTTCGGCAACAAGTGCGGCGAGCCCGGCTACCCCGGCGTCTACACGCGCGTCACGCACTACAACTCCTGGCTGCAGCAGAACCTGCTTTGAGGACCTTCGTTCGAATAGCTTAGGACACACTACAACTCCTGGCTGCAGCAGAACCTACTTTGAGGACCTTCGTTCTAATAGCTTAGGACACACTACAACTCCTGGCTGCAGCAGAACCTAATTTGAGGACCTTTGTTCTGATAGCTTAGGACACACTACAACTCCTGGCTGCAGCAGAACCTAATTTGAGGACCTTTGTTCTGTTAGCTTAGAACGCACTACAACTCCTGGCTGCAGCAGAACCTGCTTTGAGGACCTTCTTTGCTCTGATACTCGTAGCTAAAAAGACCTGTGTGCTTACCATGAGTTTACGAGGTGTGCTCGCTAGCGTCTACGTAAAATGTATGACAAAGTGTACAGCGCCCCTAACGGCTTATTTCAAGAACTAAAATCTTCATAAAATTATCACTTCACGGGATTTATTGCAACAAATTTTTAACGGTAAATAAGATATTTACCCTCCCGACGTTTCAGCTCGGTTGCACGAGTCATGGTCGCGGGCAGACTGAAGAGATGCGGCGTCGTCTGCTCCGGCGCGATGAGTTTTCCTCACCCACCCGCATTTGCATTGCATTTGCAATATTTTCGTCAGTGGTACAGTCAGTCCGACAAACTACACTAACAGTGTCCGGATTTCTCTGAGCCTAGAAACGTGATATTGTGCAAATGCGGGTGGGTGAGGAAAACTCATCGCGCCGGAGCAGACGACGCCGCATCTCTTCAGTCTGCCCGCGACCATGACTCGTGCAACCGAGCTGAAACGTCGGGAGGGTAAATATATTATTTACCGTTAAAAAAATTTTGTTACAATAAATCCCATGAAGTGATAATTTTATAGTAAAAATGCAACATAATAGTTTAAAATATTATATAAAAACTTCATAGATTTTTTGACACACTCGCATACGAGCACACCTAACATAAACTCATGGTAAGTAACATATACCTTGATTTTTTAGAATCCAGCAGAGATGTAAACAAACACTTTCATACACAATTACACCATAATCACTTACGTGTTCATAATATCATACACACTATTTAACAAGCCCATGAAACCAACTTTATTTTCACGTTTATACAAGTTTGAAATCAATCTTTGAAACAAATTATTTTAGCAAAATACGTGGACGATGANGAAAAAACATAATCTCTTAATCGAGAGAACTGGCCGCTGGGCTGGCTCGTCCGCCTTATATACCCGTTGCGGCGAGCGGGGTCTCGGGGCAGGGCAGTAAACCGGCTGCGCGCGCGCGTAGACCTCGCTGTGACGTAGTGGCCGGCTCGGCGCTGGTCGCTCGAAGTAAACAAAGGGGCGCGTCGTGTTACAATATCTAACACACAGACTTAACTATCTCGCACACAGGCTTAATATCTTTGATATCTGTTTCCTAAACAGCTTTCATTTAGGTACAACATAAGATGATTAAATTTTAATAATATGACTAAACTAAACTGTACTAAAACTTTCATGTAATATAGCACTCCATTAACGGGTCCATATTCGGTTGCATAAAAAAAAAAGACATAATTTAAGGGTGCATAAAGTTTTTTGGCATCATCATCATTTCGCATAACGTTCATACAGAATAAATCATAAGGCAGAACTTTTTTTTCCATAACCACTTTTACAATAATCATTTATTAGCATATATTTTTTTTGCATTACTTTTTTTTCAATAACGATTTCTAGTCATAACGTTTATTGGCAGCTAAACCAATGCCATAAAGATTACAAGTCATATATACAAAATACCATAATTTTATCAAGTATAAAATATAAACAGTTATACATAATATATAAAAAGTTGTACGTATAAAATATAACTTAATAAGTATAAACAAAGTAATAAAAAACACCTTAAATAATATCATTTTGTATTCTATACTTATCAAACTTTGCTATAAATAAATGCGAAGGAGTGATTAAATTTAAATGTTAAATGTTTGCGGTCAGTCCGGCGCGAGCGGCCGTTCCGTACGGACGGGTGCTCTTATTTAGCGAGTGGTTGAGTTTTTCACTTCTACCCACATCGTGTGAGAAAGTTTTGTGATCATGGACGAAAATAGGAGTGAGGAAGAAATGAGTGATTCGGATATTCTTGAAAACTGTGAACGAGAACTATCTGCAATAATTCATAACACCAACTCGAGTATGTCGGAGAATAATAATTTTGAAAAATCTGCTGAGAAAAGGAAAGAAAGGGATGATGATATCATTGACGAGGAAGGATTCATAACTGTGAGTAGAAGGAAACCTAAGCGACTTTTAAGAAGTTCCTCAACTTCCCCCGAAAATAATAATACTCCACTATCTGAAGTAAACGTATCTAGTGACAATTATGTTTTCTATGAGATCAGTATAACTTCACTTGAAAGTTTACCTAAACCAATTGCAATGGCGAAACTCCTTCATTCAGGAAACATCAAAAACATCAATAGAATCAAATATAAAGGCCCAAATATAAAGGCTCTTAAAGCAGGAAAAATTACCGAATACCTAAAAGATATATGCAATGCCTATAATCTTAAAATTCATATTGACGTTCCCACTCGTAAAGAGTCCTGCATAGATCACATTCTAAGCAACATAAAAAATGCATCAGCCACTGTACTACCTCTCTTCCTTTCAGACCACGACACAGCTCAAATGCTTTGTTTTCCAGTAGGCAAAATAAACACCATACCAAAATCGCATTTCATATACAGAAGAGACTACTGCCTCGAGAACACAAATAAGTTTAAAGAATGCTTGAGCAATATGTCGTGGTCGGATGTATATGGTGAAAGTGATTTAAATTCTGCTTTTGAGATATTTCATGAAATTATATGCTTATTTTACAACTTATGTTTCCCTATAATAAGAATTAAAATTAATAATTTGATCTCAAATAAACAAAACTGGATAACCAAGGGTCTAAAAATATGCTGCAAAACAAAAAGATTTCTTAGACACTGTTATTATAAAAACAAAACTACAAGTTGTAAGTCAAAATATCTAACATACTCTAAACTATTAAAAAAAGCTATACGCACGGCACAAATAAACNTATACCTTGATTTTTTAGAATCCAGCAGAGATGTAAACAAACACTTTCATACACAATTACACCATAATCACTTACGTGTTCATAATATCATACACATTATTTAACAAGCCCATGAAACCAACTTTATTTTCACGTTTATACAAGTTTGAAATCAATCTTTGAAACAAATTATTTTAGCAAAATACGTGGACGATGAAAATTTGTTAGACTTGTCAAATTGACTTGACGTTTAAAATCATGTGTTATCTCCATATTGTCTATGACTTGTCTCTGACACATCAGTGCTGTAACCTGTGAGTCATAGACAATAATCTCTAAATTTAATCGATATTTCTTTAAGTATTCACTTATTCCGATTACTGATTAATTTTAAATAAAAAGTATACGATACTTTGTTAAGTTTTCCAGCGATAACTTCGATATTATTGGAGATAACGTAAAATTATTTTTCTACTTTTAGTGTATACTTTTTCGGAGTCAGTTTAATTTTTAGTCGGTTTTATTGAAACGAAATTATTTTCCTTTTTTATGCAATAATGCTTACGTATTGTTCCATTGCTTATTAATAAAAGAAAAAAAATCTTCTTTTAATTGATAGCATCTTATTAATTACCTCCCTAGCGGAATAGAGCAACAAAGGACTGAGCGAGCGGGATGTCACTAGTAGCAACACTGTCAAACAGAACTTTTTGCAACTATTTGAAGTTTAATAACTTTACGGATTTTACTGTCCACAGTGTGTTTTTTGATTACATCTGTGCATACAGTTTGTTTCCTGTTCTCGAAAATTTCATAATCAGTTCACGTTCACACCCGGCGATGATACGCAAGTACTACAATAATTTCACTTCGCGATTAACGAGAGGTTTTGTCGCATCACTAGTTCACAGACTAAAAATATTTTTATGTCAGTTGGCCATGTTTGATGACATTTCTGCTGATTTCTAAAAAATTAGACTGTAGAAAGGAGACAAAAACAATCTCATCAGATTTCAAATATAAAATCTGTGGCGTTCCCCAAGGGAGCGTGCTGGGACCAATTTTGTTTCTACTGTACATAAATGACATAACGCAAGTGACAAGACACAAATGTACATTATTCGCTGACGATATTTCGATAATAGTGACATCTGATGACAAAAATAAAGTAAATTATCATGAAAATGACATTAATAATACGATTGACAATATAACTAAATGGCTACATGCAAATAATCTTAAAATTAATATTAATAAATCAAAATTCATACAATTTAACAAGCATAAACAAAAGAGATTCGATCCAAACATAAACATAAAAAAGATAAACGAAATAACAGACCTCAAATTCTTAGGTGTATCAATTGACGAAAATCTAGACTGGAAAAAGCATATAGTTAGCGTCTGTGTTCGAGTCAATAGGTTTGTATATGCCCTTAGACAAGTGAAAAACGTTACTTCTAGAAGAACCGCCATTATGTCCTACCATGCCTACATTGAATCCATCCTTCGATACGGGGTTATTCTATGGGGTAACAGTACAAACAAAAATATGGTATTTATAGCACAAAAAAGGTGTATCAGAGCCATATGTGGAATTTCTCCTCGCGAGTCCTGCAGGCCACTATTTAAAAGCCTCGGACTACTGCCATTCCCATGCCTGTATATTTATGAAGTAGCAATTTTCGTACACAAAAATCCGGAGCTCTTTCAAAAAGCGGGTAATTTTCATCTTAGATATCCCCATAGACTGATATTAAGTGATATACCAAAATCAACAAAGTATGGGAAAAGCTGTATTTGTATGTGTGTTCGAATCTATAATAAAATTCCAAATGAATTTAAACTGCTCACTATTAATTTGTTTAAGAATAGACTATATAAATGGCTAAACCAACATAGCTTCTATGACATGAAGGATTTCTTTGCGACATAACATTCGTGCTAAGCTGATTATTAATATTTTGTTGACATTATTGTAAATTGAAATGAATTGACTTAAATTGAATTCTGACATTATTGTAACC